CCCCAAAACCCCAAAACCCCAAAACCCCAAAACCCCTAAAAATGTTATTTAAATGAAAATTTAAATTTTGAGGAATGAAATCTGGCGCAAACAGCACAGGAGCGAAAACTATAGACCAATTTAAAGTCTTAGCTGAACTTAATACAGGTAGGAGGGAGGTGGCGAGGAAAGGGGATTGGCAGGGTTTGGAGAGGGGGTTGGGAAGGGGTGGGTGATTGAGGGGGTTATGGTGGTTTGAGGAAATAGAGCAAATTTTTGGGGAAAAGAGTGCTCTAAAGTAGGCTAGGAAGGGTCTGAGAGAGCTTATGGTGAAAAGAAAGGCTTGTTTAAGGCAATAAAATAGGTTAGATTTTTGGAATTTTGAGATTTGATTATTTATATCAAAATTTTGATTTTTGCAAATTTAAATATACATTTAAATTTACTTCACTTTCTTAGGCTGTTTTGGAAGAGTATCAAAAATTGAAGAAATTGAGACAGGGGAAATTCTTGTCTGGAAAGAGATAAATTACAAGAATATCGATAAAAAGCAGCAGAAACTAATAATCACAGAAGTCAATATCATGCGCTCACTCGATGATGATAATGTGGTAAAATACAAATACAGAATCAATGATAAAACAAAAGAGAAGCTTTACATAGTCATGGAATTCTGTGAAAAAGGTGACCTCAAACAATTTCTTGACAAGAGGAAAAGATCTAAAGAGCCCATACAGGAAGACTCCATCTGGAACTTATGAACCCAGATGTTACTTGCTCTCAATGCCTGTCATAAAAATAAAGAAAGAGTTATTATCCACAGAGACCTTAAGCCAGGAAACATCTTTATTGACAGATTTGGCCAATTTAAGCTAGGCGACTTTGGATTGAGCAAAGAACTCTCTGAGAATTCAGTCTGAGCTAAGACCAATCTTGGTACCCCTTATTATATGTCTCCTGAACAAGTCAAAGGAAATGAATATGACCAAAAATGTGACATCTGGGCCTTAGGTTGTATAATACATGAAATGGCAGCATTAGATGTTCCTTTTAGAGCTGAGAACTACCTCAGGCTTGCAGAGGTTATTTCAAAGGGAGAAAAATCGCCGATTCCAGAACGTTACTCAGAGGATTTACACAAATTAATCGACTTAATGATGCGGAAAGACCCAAAGATAAGACCAAGTGCTTCAAAATTACTAACCCATCCTAAAATTTCTGAGTGCCTTACAAGGATAAACCTGAAGAAAAGAATGGATCTCAAAGTTGAGAGAGAAGAGTTCCTCAAAAGACAAAAAGAGTTATTCAAATAAAGAGCAGCTTTTACGCAAGAAGGAGAGAGAGTTAGAACGGCTTAACAAAAAGTACCTAAAAAGAGTCAAAGAGCTTAATGAGCATGAAAAACAGCTTGAGAGGAAACATTCTGCTCTTGAAAATATGACTCTAAATTCTGATATTTCTAAGAATTTCACACAAAATGAGGGTCAGAGGTTGAACAAAACAGTTGATCAGACTCAAGAGATGTCAGCTTTAAAAGCATCTCATGACAGACAAATTGATACCTCTGTAAAACTCGAGCGGATGAGCTATGATTTTAAAGAGAATGATCAAAATAAGGAGAATATAAATATTTCTAACAGAAATCTTCTTTCTTCCACATCTTCGTTCCCAGGTAATAATTGTAGGAATGTGAGCAGCAACGAATCCAAGGTGTTCACAAGTCCACATAATTATGATGATTCTCAGAGAGATGCTCAGAACTCTTCTAAACGCTCTGGGAAAATGAGATGCGAGCTCTTCAGTAAAAATGTGAGCATAAACCTCTGCAATGAAGAAAATAGCAATGATAGCAGGAGTAGCTATAAGACTAAGGAAGGAACTACATACTTTCATAGCAATAGTAGAGATAAGACAGGATCTTTGACTACAGGGGATACATCCATTATGGTGAGGAGCAATGCCAAAAATGCTCTCGAGAGCCATATGGCAGCGAAGGAGAGATATTGTGATACTAGTACCTTTAGTGCAACACGAGGCCTTCCCCCTAGTGGTCAGAAACAAGTAACTAGAACTTCTCTTGACATTCTAAAGCAAGGAGAGTTGAATGATGATAATACACCTGAAGGAGCTACTAATTTATCAAGAAATTTCTCAACAAACTTCCTTCGGATAGCTAACATCGCTGAAGGCAATAGAAACAGGGCATCAAACCAAAAGACTATTGCAGCATCTTTCAGGACAAATAGTGTAGAAAACTTGCATGCTAGGCAGCACATGCAAGGAGGAAATCTTACCTTTAGAAAGAATCTGGCTCCTAGTAATCTGGCTAACATGAAGGTTGGAAGCAGCTTAACATTTAAGAAATCAAGCAACATTAGCATAACCAAACCTCCGATGAGAAATAACTTATCCAACACAGGAATGGATCCTAGCATTTTGAAGAAGTTTCAGAAAATGAAGTCTGGTTCAAAGAATTCAGTCATAAGGAAGAACTTTAATACATCTTCAAGTACAAAGAACTTGAAAGTTGTTTCAACATCCTCAAGTGCCCGTGCTGGCTTTATAAGCAAGGGAAGATATCAATTAACAAACTTAGAGTCTAATAACACCCCAAAGGAAGCTATGGGGCATACTTTCGAAATAAACAATAGTCTTTCCAGAGACCAAAAAGCTGAAGATCTTCAAAGAGTGGATTATAGAAGGGTGAAGGATTTTAATGATCACAATAAAGCAAAAGATGACTGACTTTATTACAATAACAACAAATTTTGCCAACCACATTGTGAAGCAAATGACTACTATCGAAAAGAACAGAGAAATCAGTTATTTCAGAGACGGTTATCTTCAAATTGTCAAAAATCATAGAAATAATTTCAACCATCTGCGTCAGCAACGGGGTTTTGGGGTTTTGGGGTTTTGGGGTTTTGGGGTTTTGGGGTTTTGGGGTTTTGGGG